GCCCATAGCAGGGGCCTCAGGCCCACGGCCAATGAAGACCACCCACCCTCATGGCAGGGCTGGTGGCAGGCCTATGGCCTTTGACCTTAAGGATCTTGTCTCTTTGATCACTGGTGTGCCCAAGCAGTAAAGACCCCTCTTCTAACTATTGCTTATCTTGAGGCTTAAAGCAGTCAACAGACAAAGACTAAGAGGGAAAGGAGTGGTTTGCCTTTAAAAAAATTCTTTTTTGAAAAGCTTTTATTCTGAAATAATTTTAGAATTACAGAAAAGTTGCAAAAATAGTTCAGAGAGTTCCTGTATATCTTTCACCTAGCTTCACCTAATTTACTATCTTAAATCATCTAAACCAAGAAACTGCCATTAGTGCAATACTACGCTAATTTAATATTACACTAATTTAAATACACTAAATTGATATTAACTACATTATAGCCTTTGGATTTCACCAGTTTCTGCTAATATCTTTCTTCTGTTCTAGGATCCAACCCAAGACCCCATATTGCATTTGACTGTCATGTCTTCTTAGTTTCCTTCCATCTGGGGTGCCATCTTTCCTTGTCTTTCACAACTTTTCAATAGTACTGGCCAGGTACTACATAGTATCCCTCAATTTTGGTTTGTGTGATGTTTCTCACAGTGAAACTGAGGATAGACATTTTTGGCCAGAATACTATGTAAGTGTGGATTCCTTCTCACTGCTTTGTGGGAGTGGGGCATGTCTCTTTTACAGGAATGCAGCTAAGCAGGGGCTGCACCAAGGGCCTACCTTGAGGAGCCTGGCTGGTGGGGGTTGGGAGCATTATGTGCCACACCCAAGGGCACACTGGTAGGGTGGCAGTGGAAGAAGTGGGAATATTTCTTTGCTATATACAGACAGAGCTATTTTTTTTTAATCTGGAGCTTTTGGGATCTGCAGAAGGACAAAGTGTAGCTAAGGAAAGCAGAGTATTAGGTGTGGAGAGGGGAGCGCCAAAATGGAAGTGAGGGTAAGGGACTGTCTTGCGGTCCAGGGCAGCCCATGGTGGATTCAGCAGGCCTCTAAATAACCTAGGATCGAGAGGCAGACATCTCCAAGGGTGGGAATTTGTTAATTTGTGTTGTGAGAGTGCGGTAAACACTTCTCAACCAGCATTTGCAACAGTGAGAAAGCAGGTTTGATTCCTTCTGTGGGGATAAAGCAGTGGCAGTAAAAAAGGACCCTCGAACAGGTCTTCTAGACTTAGGGGTTGGTTTTTCCCCCCAGCTAGTGGAAGTCTGTCTGGTTCCCTTCCCCACCTGGAAACTCTTACCCAGCCCTGGCACACTGTAGGAGTTTAAATAATGTTTATCGATTAATGAATAAAAAAATAAGCAAATGAAGGGCTCGTTCACAAAACACACTGATAGGCACTCCGCTCATTCCCCCGGGAACCCATGCCCCTGTCCCCAGTGTGGTTTTGGAAGTCCAGCAACAGCCCTGAGTTCCGGACTCCATGCTTTCTGTCCCGTGTCTGTCCTCTAAGTGCCTGGAGAAGCTGCGCTGAGGAGACTTCTTTGGGAGGCCTCTGGGACCAACCGAATCAAATCAAATGTATAGATGGCAAAAGCTAAGTTTGGGGAGAGGAGGCAAGTGGTAGTAACATCAAAGCTTCCTTCTGGGTGGTCCATGGCTTGGGGAAGCCAGGAGCATGGGAAGGATGGTCATAGTAGTGGGGTTGCAAGGGAAGGTGGGTACTCATGCATGTGTGCATGTGTGCGCACAGACAGGTTGAGACGGGATTCCCATATTGATGGGACTGATTTCATTTCATGTGCTCAGTGTTTCTTGGCTACTCTCTTATAAATTGCCAGTTTTCCATAGAATATACATAACACATTATTCATAATTATCATTGTAATTAATGATTTAAGTTTTCAGGTGTATATTTAGTGAGGACTGTTTTAAACATATAAGAGAGGAGCCAAGCTGAAGGAAGCTCTGAAGACTTAATTACTTAGGTGTATAAAGTAGATGAGAATTGGTTCTGCTGGCATATTAATGAAAATAGCTGCAGTGTGAGCACTGGGTATGTACCACCAGGTGCCCTTCCATGTACTTTGCATATATCAATCTGTTTCACCCTTACACACACCTCAGTTATTTGTACAGAACAGGAAATTAAAGCACACAAACACTTGCTCCAAGTCATCCAGCCAATAAGTGGCACAGCTGAGAATCTAGCTCTAACCACCACACTATACAGTGCTTCTAGTGTGATCTAGAAAGGGTCTGTGCTTTCTGGAACAACCTGTAACCTGGGAATGTGAATGGAAGAGTTGGAAAGGGCTAGGTTTCTGCTCTTTGCTCCTCTGGGGACAGAATGAAACACACCAGGTGCACACCTTTGTGTGTGCTTCCTCATGCAGGCAGTGGGAACTGGAGTTGTTCCTCCTTCCCTGGGGGGCTGTACTGAGTTCCTGCGGGAGACTGAATCATATGGGAGCTTTCAGGGACGAGATGAAGGTGTTTGTTAAGGTATTTACTTAATGCAGCAGCGCTATAATAAAAAGGGAACATATCTTACCAAAACTTCATGAAATGTCATGAAATTGCTTTAAAACAAAGTTCAAGTTTTGTTTGTATTCTTGTATAGATATATACATTTACTTTGTACAAGTAAACTTATAGTATTCAACAGATGTAAGCTCTGTAGATAAACTATTTAATTATTCACAAGGGGACAGGTAAAAGGAGAAAAGTATTGCCACACAAATGTGAGCCTTGTACAATGGGTCATCTTTACCAAATGCGCAGAGTGTGTGCAGCATGGTTTGTGGAGTCTGTCTCATGAGTAACGTCAGATTTATTTGACTCCCAAAGATGAAGGGCCTAATGACTTCCAACTCTGATAGTACTTGCAGGAAATGCCCTTGATTTCAGATCCCTGAAGCCATCCAACTGGATACTGTAGTTGTTAACAACAATAGTTGTTGTTATTATTACTATTGCTATATATTTTTACAAATCATACGTATGACTCAAGAGCCAAATTTGGAAGAAGTCACCACCTAAATGCTCAATTGGTAAGGCTCATAATTAGGAAACTAGGCATTTAGATATTTAGATCTTCAAAGAGGTCTTTCCCTTTGTTAGAAATTTTTTATGTTAGAAATTTTTAATGGAATGGCTAAATCCAACAGAACAATCATAAACACTGGCTCTAGGAGTTCTGGTTTCTGGGAGGAAATGTCTAATTCCAAACTCAGTGAACATGTCAATAGAGCTGGGACACATTTCCTTCAGCAAAACATAGAGAAATGATGGTTTTGAACCCTGCTTAGGAGGTGGAAGGAATATATAACTAATGCAACATTTTTTAAATGGAGTTTTCAACAGCTTATTGAGCTGGAATATAATCTATGCTAACAAGTTCTAGATTTCAAGGTGACTTTCTTATCACAATAAAACCTTTTAATTTGGATGTAGGGAAATTCTCTGTCAAAGGCCAGGGATACACCTGACTCTCTCTGGAATGGAAGGGAAAAAAGAAACTATACTCCAGAGGTATGAAGAGGGGAAGAAAAAAGTTCAGTGTGTGGCTTTTAAACAATTTTCTACAACAAAATTTTTGATTTTACACACTACCTACCTCTAGAAAATTCTATCTTAATTTTAATATGCCACATTATTGGGACTTTAAAGTGACATGGAGTTACAATGGGATGTAGCTGGTTTCATTTAGCTGTGATGGAAGAGGGAAAAGTATGCCAGTTGAGCCAGGAAGCTCATGTTCTAGCCCCAGCTCTAGCTGTGTGATACCAACCAAGTTCTTACTTAGTTTAGGCCTCAGTTTCCTCATTCATTAAACCAGATTAATCATGCTGCTTATACTAGATGATCCCTTACTAACCTTTTTGGCATCAACATTCCACAAAGATGGATAAATTCTCCTAGGCCAGTGGCTTTCAAATTTATTCTTTACTGTGACCCACAATAAGAAGTACATTTTATACTATGACCTAGTCCACATACATGTACAGATTTATATGTAAATGTTATATATATATACACACACATAGTGATATGTTATATGCACTACACACAATATGTTGTGTACACACAAAACGTATGTTTACATACACATTGTATCTTATACACACAACCACACACATATACACACACACAAAGTGAAACTGGAAGTTTCATGAAACAATACCCTTGTTGTTATTATTGTTATTATATAGTTGTTATATAGTTGTACAAACTTAAGGTCATTATTATTTTTTTTAATTTTTAATTTTTTATTAAGGTATTATTGGTATACACTCTTATGAAGGTTTCACAGGAAAAAACAATGTGGTTACTACATTTACCCATATTATCAAGTCCCCACCCATACCCCAATGCAGTCTCTGTCCATTAGTGTAGTTAAGATGCCACAGATTCACTATTTGCCTTCTCTGTGCTATATTATGGTACTTTTTAACTCTCTTTTATTAAGAAAAAAAAAAGCTGGTCAATTTCATGAAACATACTTGAAGAGCCAGTTTGATAACCACCCTAAGTAGGCCCAGTCTCACACTCTGAGGAACTGCCACCAGGTGAATGCAGATGACTGCACAAAGGTTCATGGTTAAAGTTCTGATCATTGAAAGGAAAATACAAAAACTGTGTAGATACCATTCCACATACCGAAGGAATATGCTGTAATTTTAGTGAAAAAGTAGGACACACAGAACAAAAACAGCAGGTACAAGTACTCCCCACCAGTGAACTTACCCATTTTAAGCTCTGCAGAATTGAACTTCAGTTTCTCTCTTTAAAACTTCCTCTTACTTGTTAGACTGGCTTTTAACTCTTCAATCTTAGGAACCCTAGTGTTTTGATAAATGAGTCCTCTGTTTATAAACAACCCCTCTTAAAGTTTCTGTAGCTTTTTCTAGAGTATTTTCAAGTTAACTTTCAAAAGCACCGCTGACTTTGTTAACTTTTAAAAGCACCATTAATAATGAAACAATTATATAATGTTTTTATTCCATTTTTAAACCTGTTTTGAGGGAAGATACTCTGAGATTCTAGTCCTGCATCTTTTACCCTGTCCTCAGATTCTCAGTGGGGCCTCTGTTGCAGTTTTAGAGTTCAAGTCTTGGCGTGTCAGGGAATTACAGGGGTTTCTTGTTTTTTGGGTGATACTCAAGATATAGGGCAATAAGTGACTCATCTGGGGCCCCATCACACCATCAGCTAAGGGGAGAGAACCAGCTCTGATTCCAAGGAGTGCTCCCTTTTTGGCTTTAATCAAACAGATTTTTGCATATGAGTAAATACCACAGGTGTGAAGGGTATTTCTGTGGTTCAGCCATCTAGGGAATATTGCATTTAGATGAGAGAAATTGTAAAGTATTTTCTTTAAAAGGATACATTACAAAATAACCCCTTTACAGGTAACACTTTTAAACAGAAGATGATTATGGTTTGTTTGCATATTTTGAAAAACAGGACATAAGCTCCATTTGTTAGTCTATAATATATAATGAAATTATAAAGATTGTACTCCATCTACTGTACATTTTACCCCCAAACTACTTATACACATCAATAAAACATTCTAAACAGAATTATGAAAGGGTTAAGTCTTAGATGTGGCTTATTTCTATTTATCTCTCACTATACCTTCATTTAACATTACCCTCATCTAATGGCAACTATGTACAGACTTGAGGCTCCTGGCCACTCTGTGCAGGGGGCTCTGAGGGTAGTAACATGGCCCAGTGTTTGCCTTCCTCTTGCACCTGTACCTTGAAACTCTCTCAACCATTTTAATTTCTCTTATTGAAAATTAACTCTCTCCAATAACACTTTAGTCTGTGGAAAAGATCCAAATAAGTTGATTTTCAGGTCAAAATTGTGTGCTTCATGTTTACAGTTTTGAAACCTCTTCCTGTTTCTCCCTCTCCTACCTTTCTCCATTTTTTTTGGCAATATGACAAAAGCTAATTTTTCTAGTACCTACAATTTCTACCAAATATATGTTACATTGCTGAAGAGCAATCAGATTTTTTTGCAAAAAAAATCCCTTTCTCAAGATACATTCCTATGAGTTTACTTTCCTATATCCAGGTAAGCACATTGTGCTATTGCTGAGGCTTTTTTTATACCATTCATGCTGATCCAAATCAAACAGACCTTTCGAGGGTACTGACAATGACGTCTTCATTGAATATGATCACTGCTAAAGCTCAGCTCCGTTTGCTCTGTAATGCTGCGCCAAGCTTTTGGCCTTTAGAAAGTCCCAGAATCCCTGGAAACATTACTTATTTGTTTGTGAGTATAAGCTTTAGAATGGTTTTGCATCCACAACAAAATATGAGAATGAACAAGGCAGTATGACTCTCTTACTGGATTGGCATTTTTTCTTTACAATAGGACTTGGAGCCAGTTAGAAGAACAGAATATTAAATAATATCCTACTTGGTGCATTTATAAAATATATCAGAATTAAAAGAGTACAAGGATTTGCTGTAGCGTGATCCATTTTTCAACTGTTGGTATTAAAATTTTTTCTGAATATTAAAAATGTTACTAAGTTGTGAGGGATTTTGGTGGGAAATATGATTAAGGTTCAACTATGATAGTTTGACTCTTAAAATTTAAATTAAAAAACTACTCTTCATATCCTAGCCTAATGACTTACATAAATTAGCAGGGTCTCATAACACCACCTCACATTCAAAATGGGCTTTAAATATTAGAAAGGCTAACCATCATGGTCTGTCTCAGAAAATAAGAAGTATACAGATAACACATTTCACAATTTTAATTAATTTCAAAATGGTATGCTAGTAGTTGATCCCCATCTACTTTGGCTGCATTTTGAGTCCTAAGGCAAAAACATTTTTTGAAAAAACAAAGAAAAGAGGAAAGTCAATAGCAAGAACCAAGCATACCTCCTATCAGGGGTAAGAGGGCGAAGGAGGTTTGTTAGAGAACATGGAGCCCGGTCCCCTTCTCCGCTTGTCCTTGGTATGTGCCAGCCTCGGCACGGGGTAGGAGGGCCCTGCAGCATGTGGAGAGGCGGACAGTTTCGCTGGCTCCCACTTGCCCCTCAGGCTGAAGTCCAGGCAGAAGTTGGCCTTGTGGGGTTCCTGTCATCCTGCCAACCCACAGCACTCCAGGGACACTGCTAGGAGAATGCTGGCCAAATCCTGCCTGAGAAGCCACCTCCTTCACATTCTCTTCTGTGTTCGGGGGGTTAGACTAAAGGAAACCCCTTCTGTCAGATTTTATGGTGTTTGTGCCCTAGCCAGGGAAAAGTAAGAGAAAGAAAAAGAAAGCAATGTGTTTAACCTCACACAATAGAATTCTTCAAAGTAGATCTAGGAATGAAGTCCAACATACCAAAATCTCAGCTCAGTTTGCTTTTTTTCATTTACTGATGTCTTTTAGGAATTTAAATAGTTATGATCCTATCTGCTTTGGACCATCATATCATCTTTCTCAAAGACAGAGTGGTCTGAAGCCCTTGTTGCACAAACGCAGAATAATCTGTGCACCATTTGACTAGAGTTCATAAACAAAGCATATTCAGACATACATGCAGTGCCATAGTAGACTCAAATTTAAAAAGCAGATATTCTTAGAAAGAGGCCTTCATTGGCCATACTTAAGGCCACAGATATTATTTCAATAGGGTTCCTCCAACACCACTTGTGTATGTAGATGCGCAAATGAATACATCCACAGAGATGTTCAGAAAAAAACATGACCATCACACATATGCATGCACTCTTTTTTTTGAACCAATAAGGTAATGTATTTCCAGGGAATGTTTTTTTGAATTTTATTGTACATTTTTTAAAAAAGAAAAGTGGAAATCATAATGTCACATGATTTCCTTCAAATGGATAAACTTAGACAATTTATCAATGCTTCCTTAAATTTTTACACCACACTGAACTCCAACAGGTTTTTGTTTTAAGGTAAACCAGGTTTTTGGTCCCTCCCTGTGGAGAAGTTACTTTCAAGTCAGTGAAAGTTCTTGGCCCATGATTAAAAGTCTTTGCCAATTAGTACTCAACAACTTCAATTCATTTTTTTCTGGTTCAAGATGAGTAGGAGCCTAATAAGGCTGTGATAAAAGGGCAAAAGGCACTGAGAGCCAAAAGCGGATTAATGAGCTCCTCCATTTATTTGTCTTCCTAACAGCTGAACTGTTACAACTATTGACACTCTTCAAAAGGTTCCGCTCTGAACCCCGTCCAGGCACTGCAGGCTCCAATGGACATCTTCAAATCCGGAGAATGGCGGGGCGAGAGCTTCCCCCGTGTGATGCCAAAACCAACAAAGCCCCATGGATCAGGTAATGAAACTTCAGCTTTTCCCCCTTTGAGATTTATTTACTGGCAGCTGACAAGGGGCAAATTCAGCTCGAATTGTGCAGTCAAGGCCCTGTCAAGCTTTTAGAGGCACCCTTGTCTTGAAGCACCTTCATGACTGGCATTTCACTCAAAAGCCCTCGGCACTGGTCCTTAACAGCTTATGACATCACAAAGGACACTCCAGACAGATGCCTACATGGCATCCTGCAGCATTTTAAAAGAGAATTAGTGGTTTTAATTATGGTCGTAGTATGAAAGGGAACCATGCAAGCTCCACAGGAGACCTTTGATCAGCCCCTTTTGCTAGTACAATGCCACGGAACTGTGACTATTCCTGGTAAGGGGCCTTTTCTTGCTGAATGACTCACCAGTGATCTTTGAATGCAGACAAGCTTCTAGCCCTCCCTCTTCATTAGTGAGCATTTCTATACAGGGGCCTATATAGTGCTTGGAGTCTAGGAGCTATACAATTGGGGGGAAAGAATCCCTACAGATTCTGGCCTCTACTTAGGAAGTGCTGAAGGACTCTGAGTGACTTTATTCATTAAAACAGGTTGCTATTAATTAACTGTCATAATAAAATAAAGAACTATTATTTGCATTTCTTACTATGTTCTCTTTAGTAATATGTATAAAAGATGCTTGTAACAGAAATGAATTTATTGAATCACTTTCCCCTTCCCCTCCCTCCAATCCCCGCCTTTTTTTTTGCATTTTGGCAGCAGGAGCCTACTAATTATTGGGCCCAGATTTATGAGTCCCAATAGAAGTGAAACATAAATATAAAATTAATTAAGGAAATACACACTCCTTTTTACTTCCCAGTTTATGCAACTGAAAAAAAGCAAACAACACATTAGCTACATTTTTTAGTGATTTCAGAGGATTATCTAAGACAATAAAACCCCAACTTTTTTCAAAATATCACCCAGTTGGTGGTTAGCTTAAAATGTGAGATTATGTAAGAACCACAGCTACTAAAAAAAGAAAAGCATTCTAATGTGAAGAAAAACAATATTCACTCTTAAAAAATATTATTTCACTTTTGGGAAATAGAAAATTATGTCTGGGTCTTGTATTAATGTTTTAAGAATTTAACCATCAAAACAGATCCTTAAAATCTAGGCCCTTAAAGGATTCATGGTTGATATTTTAAATGTATGAAAATAGTCTATTCTCTTCTAGAATCTAGTTAAGCAAAGTCATTAGACTGAAAGACTGGACGTAGGAAGATTTTCCAAAAGATTCTCATTGAACGACTAATGTGGTGCCATGGGATAAACGTAAGTTTCATAAAGGGCACATCTCTGCCACTGAACAGTCCTGCTGTACCTTGTTCCTTTTATCTGGGTGATGGCTTAGTCTTCAATTTCTCATACAGTTTCTTTTCTTGGAGGAAAACTTCTGGCCTTTAAAATTTTGGAAGCTGAACAATGGGCAGGTTTTTCACATTTTCCTGCCTCAGACATTTTTCATATTTCTCAGACTCTGCAGTTCCTTTCTTAGGTGCTTTAGAGCAACTGAAATATCAGCCCGCTGAGGATCATCCTGTGCTTTCTGAGTGTACAGATGGAAATGTCTGATGGTTTCAGATAACAGGACTTCAGGGTCTGCACCCCTTTCTGGAAGGCGCAGCATCCGCTCACTGGCGATGGCATAGTTCTTGTGCCAGTTTACCGGGTGTTCCTTTTGCAAATAGACAATCTCCTTATAAAGCTGGAAAACAGCAAAAATGTTGACATCCCATTGTTACCCCCTGACATTTTTCCTCAAAAAACAGAAAACCCAGAGGAATTAATGACACATGAAAAAAAAAAATCCAAGCCACCTACAGTAAAAATCTAATCATTGCCAGGCCATGCAGAAAATGCAAGGATGTTACTGTAATTATTACAGTAGCAGGAGGCAAATGTGCTTCATCTAAAACTGCTTCTGGGGTTTTTTTGGATGTAGCAGAGGGAACCTAAGTCACACTGTGTCAGGACAAAATGCTCTTCCTCCAGAAAGATGTTCTAGGAAAGAGATTTAGTTCTAATTCATGGAAAGCTATTTACTCAAAAGGCAGAAAGGTTGAAACTCTAAATTTAGCTGTTGGAGAAAAAAATAGCTTTCTTTAGAAAACTACATGGAAAAAAGAACTTGAAGGAATTTAAATCTTGTACCTTATTTTTACACAAATTTCTCTCTACATTAAAAATGATGGTGAAAACAATAAAAAAATTAAAATCCATCTTCAAATAGGTGGGCATTATTTAAGAGACATCCTTACAGTGAGATACTGAAATCTTCACAGTATCGTATAATTAAATTTTGATAATTAAAACTCTGCCCACAGGAATTAGGGATTTTGTTTTTCAACATCAGAGATAGTGTTAACTGGACAGTTAGAATTTTTGATATTGAGTTTTCCAGAGGAAAAACATGAATATTTAACAAATAAAATAGTAGATACAAATCTGCCAAATGGAACCTCACACTTACTTGTTTGGGAATTTCACAGCCTCCTTGGGGATTGTCAAATTGGGGTCGGATCCACAGGAGCGTGAGTTTACCAGCTGACTCCGTGAGAACACAGAACAAGCAATGATGGGACAAGCACTTTCTGAAGTAGAACTGTATTCATCACATCATTTAGTGGACAGGGGCCCAATTTATTGTCTATTTCCCCAGTGCCTACTCCAGAGCAGACAAATGCATACCTAACTTATTTTTAAATAGCACCCACAGGAAAAATTCCACAATCATGCCTGATAGGTCATTTTGGCATTTATTAAACAACCTTCAGTCCTCAAGCTGCTTTTAAAGCAAATTTCCCCTCAGTTTCTTTCACTCCATGAAACAGGAAAGAGTCGTGTCCCACTTTCATGTATGTCAGAGCTCTGAAGTTTACTTCTCATCCCCTTGTTCTCTTGGTATTACAGTCAGTGTTTCTCTATCTTTCCTTATAGTCTTTTTTCTCTATCTGGTGCCTGTCTTCCTGAGTCCTCCCTCCAAAGAGGGATGCGTGTGAGGGGCATGGCATGCTGCCTATCAAAAAGCAGGCACCCACCCTGTGCAAGTTGCCCAAGTTTTCAAAATCCTGCTTAGGTTTTGGAGTTCAAAACATAGGTCAGCACTTGATGAGCATTTTCCCAATAGCTCCAGAGAGTGAAAGGCTCACTCATGAGCTCCCTGCTATAGTCTTCAGATGGCAGAACAACCACATCACCATTTCCTAGAACACCTGTGTTACTGATGCAGCATCAACTTTTTCTGGATGGCCCATTATGCCACAGGTACTGTATCTTAAGAAGACAATCACTTCTCATCAAGTGGAACTGTATTTACCCCTCTACGTGTGTGTTATTGTGACATTAGTCTTACTGGACTTACTCTATTTACTGGGGATGTCTTCAATTTATCAAATATATTCCTAAAGATAACAGGGATACACTCTGCTCCCCCAGTACACTTTAACTTAATATGCTGTTTAAGCTATTGAGCAGACAATTTAAATAATAACAAAAATTTCATTTACACCTAAATATGTTCTTGAAAAAGCCAGTATTGCTGGGTGGATTTGGCCAAGTATTTGGCCTTATTTGTCTTGCAAACAGCATCATGCATCTGGAGACATATGCAAAGGATGTACCTAAGGACTGGGACACAGACTTTCACTGTTAATGAAAGCAGTAAAGCTTACAGTCCCAAAGGGATAATAAATCATGAGTCAGCTTCAGTAATGGCCTAACAACTGGCCATGGAACAGATCACCAAAGAGAACATGAACTAGTAAGTCTCAGATTTCTCCCAGCTAAATACTACTTGTTTTTCACAGAATCTCAGGGTATTAGAGATTAATAGGATATGATATGACCAGGATATGAGAGAGAATCTATAAAACTTAAACCCACCCCCACTCCCCTTCTTTTAAAGAAAAACTGAAGCCTGAAGGTTATCTGACTGACAATTGACAATTACCAGCAGAGTGGGCATTGAACCTGAGCCTCCCAAAAGCCAGACAGAACTACCGCATGTTGCCTCCTGTGATCGACCCCTTGCTGTCCTCAAGGGGTACCTCAGAGGGTTCTGTCTGTGCCCCCCATGGTTCCCTCCTTATGGACTGTCCCCAGCCTCCTCACTTCCCTGCCCCACCATCTGTCTGGCTGCCTCCTCCTGATCTTGCAGGACACCCCTCCTCTGCAAGCGTCTCCCCCCTTCCTCACCACCGTCCTCTGCAGGGGAGTATCCCTGTGTACAGCTCTCTGTTCCAGCAGCACCTCTGCAAATCTCTCAGACCAATTAGAAGACTGAATGTAAATTAGAAGACTGAATGTAAGTGAGGACTTCATCTTCTGCCTCTTGCTCTAGCCTGCTCCTTCTCAATAGCAGGACTTGAGTGTCTCCACCTCAATATTTGGTACAGATTGGTTGCTCAATAAATCCTCTGTGAACACCAATAGCACAAAGTTCAGGAGCAAAATTACTCATACCAACTGTTCACCATATTATTTTGACTTAGCACCAAATAAATGCCCTCGCTGAGTAGATCCACAGCAGCCTAAACAAAGCAGAAATACCTCAGTTCTCATACATACAGCTCCTGGGCTCTGTTCTCATTGGCTTTTGCCAGGATGTCCATTTCCTATACAGCAGGCCCAGGACTCTGTCTGAAGGTGTCTAAGAGCCCAGTGCTATGAATCACAGGAAAGCAGGGGCTTGTTAAAACTCTACTACAGCAAACCTCTGTTCTGCACTCCTGGCTCCCGTCAGAGAGGACTGACTGGGCAAGAGCCTCAGTGTGGCTGGCTCGTCTGAAGGTATGTTCAGTTTCCTGGGGCCACAGTTAGAAGACAAATCACTCTCCAAGACCCTTCATCTTTTTCACAAAATCTCAACTAGCATGGCCCTTTCATTTCAAGTGCAGTCAGGGTCATGACTTTTGCATGGAGGGCAAACTTCATGTTTTTAAAAATAAAGCCATTATATTAGTTTCCTATTGCTGTTGTAACAAACCATCACAGATACAGTCACTTAAAACAATATAAATTTATTATCTTATGCTTCTAAAAGTCAAAAGGTATAAAATCAAGGTTTTCATAACATCAGTGGGGCTGTGCCCCTCCTGGAGGTGCTGGAACCTCTCTGTCCTGTCCTGCTTCCAGAGGTGCCTGCCCTCTCTAACTTGTGGCCCCTTCCTCCATCTCCCAGGCCAGACATACAGAACCTTCAAATCTTTCTTTCTGACCGCTGCTTGCTTTGTCACATCTTCTCTGACTCTGACCCTCCTGCCTCCTCCTTATAGGACCTGTGTGATTATACTGGGCCCACTTGGATAATCCAGGAAAATCCCCCCACCTCAAGATCCTTAATCACACCTCCAAAGTCCTCCTTACCATGTAAGGGCATATATTCACAGGTTCTGAATATTAGGACATGGACATCTTTAGGGGGGGGCCATTATATTGCTGACAACAGCATTATTTGTGATACACGTGAGTATTTTTCCATTTATATGGCTTTATAACACCAAATAAAGCTAGAGACAAAAAAGTAAAAACTCTACTGTGATACACCCTCTCTCCATCCCAATCATTACCCACACTCCCACCAAATATATTTACATATACAAAAGTATAACGTACATACATTATATGCATGTGTGTAGAGTTGAGCTTTCACATTTGAAGGCACACTGGCAGTTTCTGCTAAGTTAAAGATGAAGAACGGTGTTTTCATCCTGGGAGCGGGGAGGGGAGCAGTGGGAACGTTCATTAAACTCATACTGTCAGTTTGACATTCAAAGCTAAATCTGCCTGACTTCTCCGTTGGTAAGGGAAATCCAAAATCCTTCATTGTATTATTTTTACTTCTCTCATATTCGTAGAGCTTACTCTGAACCCACATCCCCCTCTCCTTCACCAAGACACTGCATTCACTCTGGCTGCTGATCGTTTAGAAAAAAGCTTACATTCAACACCACTATTAGGCATCATTTTCCCTCCAGATGTACATACTGTTGTGCAAGGGTGGCTGGGAAGGGGGAGACTGGCTGAGTTTGTCAGCACATCTCTGAAGGTACCATCACAGCGGCTCATGCCATGTGTGACCAGTTCTTCAATGGTGGCCGGACTCTTTGACCACATGAACTCATCCAAATTGTATTCAGTACACCAATTAAATCAATACCTGACTGAATAATGACCTACTTTCTTCTTTTATGTGACTTCTCCCCCAGCTTACCCACATTCAATCACCATAAAGAACTATGCAAATATATAGTATATCTTTCATCAATTCTTCAAAATAAGTATTTGTCCTATCACTAGGCTGGTAACTTGATATATGCCATTTTCTGACTTTTAAAAAAACACTACTGCATTAAATAGAGTATATTTATTTTTGTAATTGTTATTTTGGAGCTGTATTTCTTGACAGGTTTTTTAAAGACCTCTTTAAACTTATATAAATGCTTTATACTATAACTCAATTCTCAGTACTGCAAAGCACAGTCCCTGGTTTAGAATTGGGCCTTCTTTCTTTGCTGAAGGAAATACTTCGTAGGTACTTGGTACCCCATCTGTATCACTGGGGTACCTCTTTAAACTTATATAAATGCTTTATACTATAACTCAATTCTCAGTACTGCAAAGCACAGTCCCTGGTTTAGAATTGGGCCTTCTTTCTTTGCTGAAGGAAATACTTCGTAGGTACTTGGTACCCCATCTGTATCACTGGGGATTTTTATATTAATAGTTAGGCCCAAGTCTGTTAGTGTTAGATTGAAAATTTTAAAATAGTGACAGGAACCAAGAGTCAAAGGCTTCACCATACAGAACCAACAGGAAAGTACAGACTCTAGCACATTAATGTCCAAAGCTCTCAACACAGCTGTCTGCTCCTTTAGACTGGAGGTTCCTTGTAGGTGGGAACTGTGCTGTATTTGTACTTGTGGGCTCCCTGCCTGGTGTAATGCCTGGCTTCTAGGAAGTACTTAATAAGTGCTTAAATTAACTAGCACATTACTCATGAAGCCAGGGTAACATTCAATTTCTCCTCAATCAATTACATTTACTTCAGTTTAACTGGGGCAGGAGAGCATAGAAGTTATGAGTGTTCCAGAGTCAGACAGAAGGGGGTTTCACATTCTGTTTCAGTAGTAAGAGGCCTTGGACAAGTAATCTTTCTACTCCCAGTTTGTTCTTTTGTAAAATGGGGATAATAATGTTTTCTTCATAGGCTGTAAGGGTAAAATGAAACTATTCATGTATAACACTCAACACAATGCCTCAAACAAAATAATTATTCATAAATGTTACTATTATCACCCCTACTCCCCAGGTGAAAAGTGCCACAGGCTACTTCACTACCACATTAAAAACAGACTGTAAACACAAAGGTGTAGATTAGTCACCTCGCTTGCCACATCTCTTCATTGGCCACAGATTCCCAAGAAGATGGGTCAAACCTGTAATCAAAAGAAAATAGTAAGATTATTTTTTTCTGCCAGCTATATTGACTACTACGGATGTGTAATTCTTGTTTTACCATCTTATAAAGTAGACAAAATAGGCTGGGTCTTGAAATATTGATAGGGACTTTTCTCCTAGAAAAGTTTGATCATTAGGAATTTGAGGTTTTGGTACATGTGCTCTTATCTGCATAATGAGCCCAGCCCAACCTGGGAGCAAACAAAGAATCAGCAGGAAGAGGCTGGAGGCATTAGGGAAGCCAGTTGTTCCCAAGACCTGTTAGATGGGCAATGGGGCAGAGGTGAGGCCTGGGTCACTCTGTGGACACAGCTAAGGGCCAAAGCAACGGGTGAGCCTGAAGAGAGGGGACTCCTGGGTTTGCCAAATCATTGCTGGGGCTAGGACGCTGCTCCAAGAACACTGGCTAAACCATTAGCCGGGTTTTTCTCTCTTTTAATTAAAATGTCTTGTTATGTGTCTATTTTGACAGAATGGAGATAATGAGTGATGTGTACTCGTACTGTTATCAGCTGTTTGCAGAACAGGCTACTTTCTAACTTTTCCTTATGGTGGTCACAGAGGGCTTTGATGTAGACTTACTTTTCCATCTCTTGCTGGTGCAATCTGTGGTCTGTTTGCTCACATTGACTCAGAAAACCTCTGCAGCATTTTTAATGTGATCTTGCCTGTTGCTCTTGAATTACAAGAATATTTTCAATATCTGTATAATTATTAGATATAAAATTATCTAACCTTTAAATAATTCATCATTTAAAAAACAGGCAATGGAGGCACACTTCTTTGGGTGGTAATTCATTTTCCCTATGGGAGAGAATCAACTCTATGTAGAAATGCTTCAAGGAAGACTGATTATGCCCAAAACATAACCAGGCTGATGACACACAGCTGGGAAGAAAAAGTCACTCAAGTCCAGATTTTCCCTATGGAGAAGTTATCCCATTCTTGAAGAAAGAAAAATGTATTCATGACAAGTGTATGTGTGTGGAACCTACCACGGAATGCATTGTAAAGCTCTACAACAGTCAGCGAGTCTCTTCTGCTTTGGGGGTGAGGCACCGGGTAGTGGGCGACAGCACGCCCTGGGGCGCAGAGGTGGGGGTGCTGCACAGCCAACGTGGCAGGACCCAAGCAGCCAAAGCCACCCTTTCCCAGCTGCCCCATCCATCTCCCCACTGTTCTTTGAACATGAGGACAAGACACAAATTCTCATTCTCTATCAGGATATTCTGTGGGCAGCAGATAGCAATATTAATAATAAATATTAATAAAACAATTATCAAAAAATTAAAAGGTATCTCAAAATTGAGTTTCTTAGGCTCACAAAACTGCTATAGTCTGATGAAAAATGTAACTGCTGTTCATACCTTCCATATTCTTCAGTCCAGTTATAGATATTTCTTGTAAGTTGAATCCATTCCTTAGGGTTGAACACAATCTCTGAAGGAACTAATTTGTCACAAGAACCCCAGGGCCAAAGTGAATAGTTCTTTTTCCAGGTTGGGTCACCTTCATGAATTCCTATGCAAACAAATGTTTCTTTTCTATTGAAAACAGAAAAAAATTTTTTTTAAGTTAAAGTTCTAAATATTAAATAAATATAACTCTCAAAAGGCCATTTTTCAGACCTTAAACCTCTGTTACCAATAAACCATTAAAACTCAGTTACCAATAAACCATTTGCAAACATTTTTGGTTTATTTACATCTTTCCCAGATACGCTGTTTGAAGTTTATATTAGTGTCTAAAAGCTGTTTTGGGGGCTGGGACATAAATGATAAAACCTACCTATTCCTAACATTGTAAGAAATCACTTGAGGACAAGCATTGTTACAATGAAAACTTTTGTGGAACCGTCTCACATGTAAACATACATATTAATGGGTACCTTTTTTTACTTTACAGGTAGAAATATGTCTTCATTTGTGTCCCTAAGAGGTAGTCTCTCTTTCCATAAATTCCCGTTCACTTTATTTTTTATCTCTTTTATCATTATTGTATTGTATTTAATATTTGCATTTATAAGTCTGAGTAGCCTGGAAGCATTCTGAGGATGGGCTCATCTTTGAATGAGCTCTGATTCCTACATAGCATGATACATAGCTAATACACAACATTTGCTGAGTAAATTAGAAGATTTGAATAATTTTTAGGCGTTTCAAATCCTGCAAAAATCAGAATTAGGAGTGATTTAAATAAGCTTGGTTCAAGAACATTATAATTAAACAGTTCTATTTCAGTTTGAGGTATATGCCTTAATAGCTATTGCTAAGTAGAAAAAAAAAGAAGCACATTAAAAGAAATTACTTGCCAGTAAAAAACTTCATGAACTTGGAAGACACTTAAAGCTTAGATTTTTCTGCACCATTTATGACCTCTATAATATTGGAGAAATTATTTAACTACCTGTGTCTAGTCTCCTCATCTGTGAAATGGGTATATCTTTTCCAGAGCTATTAAAGATTAAATGAATATTTGATATAAAGCATGGTGTTAAAACATAGCAGAGCTCCAGTCGTGGGGAAGATGGAGCAAGCACACTCCACTGTCTCTCGTACTGCACACAACTATTCCTTCTGGGCGGAATGCATGGAACAGTTATCTGAGGAGTCTGAGAAGTAAATGGTAGAAATAACAGTGAGGAAAGAGAGAATAATTCTGAGTCCCACCAAATCTGTGGTGAGTTGACCATTTTGCCCTTGCAAGGTTGCCGAGCCTAGACTCAAAGGGAGCCTGAAACCCAGAAGCACATACCAAGTAAGGATAGAAAGAGCCCCAAGGAAAGCACCTTTTTTCTAGTCCAAGGAGCAGGACAGGGAATTTGTAAGGGTTGAACGGAACAGAGGGAATCCCCTGTATTTTTTCTTTTCTCCTTCCCAAGCCCCAGGCAACCCCATGTGAGCCATTGAGCCAGCAGCACCAGCAGTGCAGAGATGGCAGTGGCAGCTGGGCACGTTCCTACAATCCTGAAGACGGGGAACACTTCTCTCCCTGTTCAAAGGAGCTGTGATCCAAGAGTCAGGGGCAAATTCCCACTGCACTTTGCCTCTCTTTTTTCTCTAGCAGCCTGGCCCCAGATGTAGACACTGTCACAGGACTTGCATAGCAGAACAGGGAAACAAAAGCCTTAACTTTCTGGCCAGAGAACCAGGAAGGAAGGTTCCAGGGGGCTAGAAAGTATTGGTGTGAACACAGAAAAGAGAGAGATCATGAGCAATTCCATGAAGTTGTATATGAACTCCTGGCTTATCTCTGAGTTCAGCATGCATGGACCTGACCCTAAAGAGAGCTTGAGAAATGACCACCACCCACACAGGTCCCAGACTGGATAGCACACACAGGAACTGATGCAGATAGCACTGCCACTGCTTTGAAGACAGAACTGACATTAGAACTAAGTTCACAGAAAGCAGGTCAGAACTTGTAGCCTGAGATTAACCTGGCTGATGGTCTGCTAAACAAACAAAATCAACATTCTCCTTTGGATTTAAGTAAGACCCAAATATTCAAAATGCCAGGATGCAATCCATAATTATTCAACATAAGAGTAAAGTCTCAACTCACAACAGGAAATACAATCAATGGATGTCAAATTCAAGATGACATGGATGCTAAGGATTCTCAAAGACTTTTAAATAGCTATTATAACCAAGCACACCAAGAAATGAGGGCAAATACTTTTGAAATGAATGGAAAAATAGAAAATCTCAACAAAGACATAGAAGATATAAAAAGGAATCAAATGGAAATTATATACCTGAAAAATACTATGATTTAAATAAAAAATTCACTGGATAGGTTTCATATAAGTTCGAAGACAGAGTGTTATATATTCCAGTAAATCTGAAGACAGATCAAGAGAAATGATACAATTTAAACAAAAAAAAAAAGATTAAAGAAAATATAGATTCTCAGGCACCTGTTGGACAATATCAAAAGATGTAACATTGCCTATCACCAGAACCCTAGAAGAAGGGAAAGAATGTGAAGCAGAAAAAAATATTTAAAGAAATAATGCCTGCAAAGCTTCCAAATTTTGTGAATGACACAATCTTAGATTCAAGAAACTCCATGAATCCCAAACAGGTTAAAGTCAAAGAAATCATGTCCATATGTAATCTTCATCAAACTGCTGAAAACTAAAGACAATCAATCTTGGAATTAGCCAGAGGAAAACAACACATTTCACACAGGGAAACAATGATTTGAATGACTACGGATTTCTCAACAGAAACCATGAAGGTCAAAAGGATGTAAACTACCATTTTTAAAGTGCTGGGGGTAAAAAAGAATTATCAACCCAGAACCCTCAAAAATGAAGGTGAGATAAAGACATTTTCAGATAAAGGAAAGTTAAGAGTTCACTGCTAACAGTCTTGCTTTAAAAGAAATGCTAAAGGAATATATTCAGATGAAAGGAAAATGATACAAAAGGAAAACTTGGAATATCAGGATTGAAGGAAGAACAATAGATATGGTAAATTTCTGTATGAATATTTTAGACCAGATTTCTCTTAAAATTCAAAATATATTATGACAATTAAAAACAAAAATGTGATAACATGTTTGATATAATATGTATGACAACATAATAAAAACTGGGGAGGAGAAAGGGACTCACATAGCAGTAAGTTTGATACCTTCCACTTCAAGTAGAAAAATATTTATCCTAAGGAGACCATGAAAACCTAAGTATACCTATTGTAATCCCAAGGATAACCACTAAAAAAAGAGACATAGCAAAAAAATTTCAAAAATAATTTAAAATGGAATACTAAAAAATAAAATTATCCAAAAGAAGGCTGGAAAGGGGAAACACTGGAATGAAAAACAGAAGGAACAAACAGAAAGCAACAAGACATATATCTAAAGATACCGGTATTTACATTAAATACAAATGGTTTAAATATACCAATGAAAAAAACTGCCACTGTCAGAATGGATAATAAAACAAGAACCAGTATATGCCATCTACAAGAAATCCACTTTAAGTATGATACACATGGTTGAAAGCAAAAGGATAAAACAAGATATGTCATTAAAACACTAATCAAATTAAAACCAATCTAAAACTCCAAAATGGTTCTTCTTGTAAATACAGAGAAAGGTAATAATACCATTCAATTAAGAAAGGATAAAGTTTTCAACAGATAATATTAGGAAAATTTAGATTCATGGGCAAACTCCAAAAACCAAACAAACAAAAAAAACCCCAAAGCCTTGTCCTAAACCTATCCCTCTTAGCAAGATGAACTCAAAATGGATCATTGATCTGAAATATGAAACATAAAACTATTAAAGTCTTAGAAGAAAACAGGAGAGAATCTTTGTGACCTGGCATTAGACAGCATTCTTAGATATGACACCAAAAAGTATGACCCATAAAAGAAAAAAAAATTAATTTCATCAAAATAAAAACTTTTATCTGCAGGAGACACTTTAAAGAGAATAAAAAAGTCAAGCTATAAACTAGGAGAAAATATTTGTGAATCACTTATTTTACATAAGATTTATATTTGGAATACATAAAGAACACTCAAAACACAATAGTAAGAAAACAAACAATCCAATAATCCCACTCCTAGGTATGAGAACATGTTCACACACAAACCCGTACATGAATGTTTCTAATAGCTCTATTCACAAATGTCTTAAACTGAAAACAACCCAAATATCCTTCAACAGGTGAATGGAAAAAAAAATGTGGTTCACAAAACCCAAGAATGGACTAACAGCTGCCAGAGGGAAAGGGACTGGGGAGGGTAGGTGGGAAGGGAGGGAGAAGGGGAATAAGGGGCATTACAATTAGCACACATAATGTAGGGGAGGGGGGCACGGGGAAGGCAGTATAGCACAGAGAAGACAAGTAGTGACACTATAGCATCTTACTACACTGATGGACAGTGACTATAATGGGGTATGTGATGGGGACTTGATAATGGGGGAAATCTAGTAACTACAGTGTTGCTCATGTGATTACATATTAATGATACCAAAAACAAAACAAAAAAAAACTGTGCTTCACCCACACAATGGAATATTACCGAGCAACAAAAAGGAATAAACTAATGATACAACAACTTGGATGGATCTCAGAAGCATTATACCAAATGAAACATGGCAATAGTAAAAGTTTACATACATTATAGGTCCACTGTCCATTCTGGAAAAGGTAGAACAGTAGCAGTGGAGAATAGATGGGTGGTTGCTAGGGTAAGGCTTTGGAGACAGTGTGACTGCTAAGGAGCAGCATAATGGAATCTCCAGGGTCATGGATCTGTTCTGTATCTTGATTGTTGCAGTGGTTACACAAATGCAAATGTGTTAAAATTCATGTAACTGTACACCAAAAAAAGGTAATTTTACTGCATGCTGAAAATAAAATAATAGGTGTTTAACATAGTTTCCTTTCTTTCAAAATGTATCCATTTAGACAGCTTTTATATGATGCTGATGGTCTAATGCTTTTGGGAAAAAGATAATCAAGTGCTTTTCAATTGTTCATGCCTTTGACTTAGTAATCAATTTCTGAGAATCTATCCTAATAATTCAAACTCCCATCCTTTCCACAAGAAAACTATATATACCAAGGCATTTGTTGTAATCTATAATTTTGATAGTTAAAAATTAAGACCTCACATTAAATTTCTACTAGTAGTCCCATTCCCCTAATATTAAGTTACAAATACCTACTAAAAATATTTACGAAGAGTTTGTAAAACGTAAGAAAGTAGTTTTATGATAGTCAATGAAATTAAGCTATCAACTTTGTAAAAAATATGCATTTTTGATACATTTCTTATCTCTTGAGTGATAGGACTGTACCTTTCTTAGTTTTTAAAAAAATACTTTTTATACTAAAAACTTTATTTTATTTTAAATACTGACAATCAATAAGAAATATTTATCCTGAGGCCTTGGTTAGTCAAAAATATTAACAAAAATTTATTGGCCAGAATGTTCATCACCATGCTATATTGTAATAGCCCAACTCTAGGAACAATAAAAATGTCCAAAACTAGAATATTTGTTATAATGAATTTATATGAAAATAATAAACAGTCAAAAAAATGACAGTGATGAAGACATTTTGAGTACATGGGGAAATGTTTATGATATGCTTTTAGGTAGAAAAAAAACTGGACAGGAAACTAAGTATTATCCTAGCTAGTATAGTGGGACTGTGAGAGTATGTAAATGTATGCAATTCCAAAAGTTGCAAAAATGTCATCAATGGATATATTGAAAGACAGATGACACTGATTCTCTTCTTGACACTTGTCTGTACTGTCTATAGAGTTTCCACAAGGAGCATGCAATATTTCCATGATGAGGACATGCTTCATCCATGACTATAGGATAAGGCCCTTCATGATCTGGGTCCCACCATCCCTGCACACTCAACCTGTCACCTAGCTCTCTAAGCCCTGAGCTCCAAACATACTGGGCGACCCACTTGCCCAGAGCTCAGCAGGCCCTTTCCATGACTTTGCACATGCACCTCCCTCATATCAGCCTTTTCCCAGCCATTTGGCAAATTCCTACTTAGCCTGGAAGCCTCCAACAAGAGCTGGGGCCCTGCCCATGCATCTACAGCAAGCATTTGTTGGGGCATTTTGGACACCCAGTATTTATTAAATAAATGCTAAATGAATGCCCCAGGCAGAATTAATTGCTTCCTCACCCATACTTCCAGAACACTTGGCTTATACCACCAGCTAAGTCATCCATTCAGTAAAGACACAATGAATATTTACTGTGTCACACTTCATGAGGCTTTGCTAGCATAGATCTTATCCTATCATATTTGGCCAGCTGCCTTCATCTCTATGAATATATACAACTAGACTGTGGTTTACTTGAATTTGAAACTGAGTCTCTTTCTATTGCTATGGCCTAATACAACCTGGAATAGCACATTCATAAATGTTTGATACACATGGTTGGGATTAAATTTTGGGAATAGAATACATTTAATGGTGTACACATTTAAATAAAAAAATACATTTAAATAAAAATTCACAAAAATGCCTGTTTGGGGATGGTAATGAGTCTTAATGTTTTATTTCAAACTAGAAGAATTAAATATTACTCTCACAGCACATTTATATCCATTGCTTCATAGCACTTCATGAGCCACAGTAAATGTCAGGCTCTGAACACCAAAAGTATCACATTATTATATTCTTAATCAAGGATAATTTAACTTTGGAGTTCACAAAGAATTTCTGAAGTTCCTTTTATATAAGAATAGAAATTGTGAAATAAGGTTTTCTTCTTCACATTCTTGGGATTTCTTCACAATCTCAAGCATTTCATGGGCAGGAGAAATGCTCAACACTATACCACTGAAGATATTATTTATTCTTGACCTCAACTATGAATAATTTTGTGTTTATAAGTATAGAATTCATAATTCTTACATGTTATCTCAGCCAGCATAACTGTAGGTATTGTTCTTATTTATAAAAATGCCTTATCCTTTATAAAAAAATCTTTAAACTATTTTTATATAGTGATTATTCCTGGAAAACATTTGCTTTACACTTAAAAGGGGGCAAGAGCATTGATCAGGGTGAAACTATAATTGCTTGCGATCCACCTGCAATGACTTCAAGTAGGCAGGCACATTTCCAATGTTTCTGAATTGTACCAAGATCTCATTTGCTATTCTTGCTAATCTGTCTTTATTTTTCCTTTACCCAGAACAATAACATTTATTTCTGCCTGCCCTCATTTATGCACAGATATTCAATTTAATTACAAAGATAATCTCACCGGTGGCAGGGAAATAGGTGTAGAAAATTGGTCTTTGGATGAGGCACAGCTGCTACATAAACAATTTTAGAAAAGCTTAAGATTTTAGAAAAGCTATTATATGAAAAGAATGCTTACTGTTTATTTACTTCAAGAAAATGATAAAGATTAAATGTGACCATTCCACTAGGTAATATTCCTTCCACAGGATTCCACCGGTTTCCAGGAAAGTTGACACCTGGAAAATGCTTTGCCATCTTGGGTAAATACCACTCATAAGTCATCATCTATCAGAAAAATAACATACCATGCCACATTAATGCATTTCTTAAAAATGAATCAAGTTGATCAAGTATAATGAAGAAGTCCTAACATGTGGATATACTTACTAAATATAATCATAACTGGAAAACACGAGCACAGCTGAAGTATGACTACTCTTCTGATGACCCTGGGTTTCATTTCTGAAGCTCTGTCGTGGGTAACAACAGCGCCTTGCTTCATTTCACGTCCGTGCATTTGACAGACTACCCAGAGTGACCTTCCCCCGTTTTTACACCTAGAGAATGTGTACTCGACTTTCAGAGCAAGTTTCATACCACTTCCTCTATGATGTCTGCCCCAGTTTCCACGGCAGAATGATATGCCCCTACAATAGTCGGCACCTACTCTACCATAGCTCTTACCCTGCTCCCCATTAGACTGCAGGCTCCCAGAGGGAAGGGACTGTATCTTTTCACCTCTGTGCTTCTGTGCCTAGCACAATGCCTGGCATAGAACAGGTGTCAAATTATGTTTGTTGAAGTTGAAATGTCTTTGATGGCCAGATTACAGAATTTAGGCAAAATATGGAGATGTGTTATTACTCCATTCTTTCATTCATTCACTCAAAATAAGAAAGCATTGCTCATCTATAATGAGGAAGATATAATTCCTGCCCTTGAGAAGCTCAATCATACGATAATATAGGGCTCATAGATAAAAACCTTTTAGGCTAAATTACCTGAATTTATTAGCATCTCAAAATTAATTAAATAGCCTTACATGTTCTTTTGTTCTTTTGATTAAAATATATCATTAATATCAGGAAAAATAATTTTTGTTAAATTTATACTTAATAATACTTTTCTATGCATGTATATGTACAGACTCCCTTTTTTAGAGAAGACTCCTATTTACACTTTCAAAGCTTTGTTAAAGTTTGGATATCATTATTTGAGCAACCATGTTTATATTTTACTTGTTTTATACAAGTCATTTACCTAGAAAGGACAAATTAATTCGATTCTAATTGTTTGTTGTAAATACTCAAAAAATACATATTGAATTAGGTTTTACTACCCAGGAGTTTCAGTTCTTAGGGATATTAATTAAATACTACATGATATGATCTTAATGTTTCTCATTTAAGTCTCCTACTAGCCTTACTATGTGAGAATAATTATGTCAGATACTGTTTATTGTCCACTCAACAGCCAGTAGCTTTTCCTTCTCACTAACACAATCCTGATTTTGATCAGGTAGTCTAGGGCAGCAGTATGCTGGATCTAGTCATTCCTCTTTGCTAGTGAGTAGTTTAGGAGAGGGCATATGACCCAAAACTGGTTATTGGGGCCAAGTGGAGGGCTGCTGCAGGATCCTGAGGTACATGTTACCCTTTCTCTCTCTCTCTCTCTCTCTCTTTTCTCTCTTAGCACTTTGCTGCATTTCAGGATGTGATGTTTGGAACTGGGCACTCATCAGTTCAAGATGGATGCAGAAAAGCTGCCCAGAACACTGACATCATTGAACTGCTAGTGTTACCAATCCTAAAACCTCCTATCTCCAGACTATTTGTTATGTGAAATTAAAAACACCACAGTTTAAGCTACTTTTAGTCAAGTACTTTGTTTCTTGCACTTAAAGCATCTTAACTTATACAACGATCATTTCCATTTTATAGATATGGAAACAGAAACTCTGAGAAGAAAAACCATTAGCGACATCACAGATCTAGGAAGTGACAGAATGAGGTCTTGAATTTCAGTCTAATGAACTTTGAAATCCATGCTTCTCAACTACAGTAGCTGCCATCCCACACACTATTTAAAATCATAGTGCAATACCATATTATCCCAAATAACCTGGCTTTTGTCACAAGCTAGACTGAAGATCAAATTAATTGATTTGTGTACATGATATAAATGCAAACTTACAAAAATGTGTGTAATATGCAAATTTCCCTCTATTGCAAATCAGTTCATACAGTTTTCTCCAAAAAATTCTAATTATTCATTAATTCAACAAAATTTATTAAATAAGTATTGTGCCTAGTAATTTGGTCAATTAAACCAATCATAGTATTAAGATTAGTATCAAGATTAAGAGTTTGTCTTTCCCTGATGACTGTTTTAAAAAAAAGATATTTTTTCCCCTTTTAATTATTCATGGTTTAAATAACAAAACTTACAGTTTGAATATATTTCTTCAGGTACAGAAAATTGTTATACCAGACCTCAAAATTTTCACAAGTCCTCTCCAAGCATATTTTTGTCATAAGATCAACAAAGTTTACACACAAATTCTATAGCAGAATTGTAGCTAATAATATCTACTTTGAGCAAATGTTTATTTACCTGCAATATAACTTATTTTATATTCAACCTAGTTTATATTTTAATCCCTGGACCAGTGGGCAGTGTTAATTTGAATGGTTGTATTGTCTGCATGTAAAATAATTATTTAAAAATAATCTTATAATACAGTATTTTCATGGTTTGTCATGTGAACTAAAGACCTGGAACGTTATTTGAATCTAATATAAAATTCATTAATTCATACAATATTGTCTGAATGAAAAAGAGCAACTCATATGATTTATACTAATTAAAAATAAACAAGAGTGTGATATATATTTTACCTAAAAGTGATCACAAAAACTGTACCCATTCACTGTTAAAAATTAGTTTAAGAAAAAACATTTGTTTTAAAGTGATGACTGTTACTTCATGTTTCATATACTTACTTCCTGATCCACTAATGAAATATCTGGCCTCAGGCCCTCGCAATAATGCATGTAGCGGAGAGAATTCCCCGGCAAATCTCCTCTGAGTAAAATAATTGCATCATGAGGCATAGAGGATAGAAGATTCTTTGCAAATTTATCGATCACATAGTTGGTTCTTTGGTCACAAATGCTAAATAAAAGGATCAAGAGACATTAAAATAGCAACATATTGCTGCAGTTTTAATAAGGCTGGGCTTATTTTCTGCTCCATTCTTTCCCCATCATAAAATCTACATTTAGTGTTTCAAAGTATTCTAATTTTTATCTTCTATGAAAATACATGTATTTGAAAAGAGAACACTATCTTCTTAAAGAAAAGGAGAAAGAACTAAATGTGCAACTGAAAAAAATCAGTGTACTGCTTTACTCAGGATTTATAATCATTTCCATAAAAAGGGAATATACCCTTTTTCCCTGAAAGCACACCCAGTTTCACTGAAAAGTAAGGTTTCTGATTCCACTTGTAATTTAAGGCAATTCCATGTTAACTCCATTAGGTCCAAAGGAATTTTGAGAAATGCAAAAGGAAATCTCCTAGTTTCTGGCATAAATTTGTACGACACTTGTCTGACTGTCCTGCATGCAGGTTGATCCTTTCCACCACTTCCATGAAGCACAGGCCCCCTTGTTCCTCTCTCCCCTCTAGACTGATAAATAATTAGGGGTGAGACAAATGAGAAGGAAGGGAAGGAGTGGCTGGTTGAATTGTCTGCTTCTCACCATGTATTATTTGCCTTTGCCAACAACAATAATATAACTCTTTTCAATAATGAAGCGGACTTTCTAATTTCAAAGAAAACGCATGAATTCTGAGAGCTTTTCATGAAAAAAGACAAAGACTACAAGAGAGTAAAGGCCTCAACAAAGGGAAAAGCAGTTCCTGATATTATCAGTCCCATTATATGTAATGGGGCTGAGAAACACAGCCTAAAGTCGAATCACTGAGTTAGCTTCAAAGTCATAAAGCAAATGAATAATGCTAGGAACAAAATGCTACCCTCGATTTCCTAACTGATGCAACAATATTCTACTATGATTCCCTCACTTTTCTGCCACCCCAAAAGTTGCTATCTGTTCCATTCTTCTGGGGCAAATAAAAGAACCAAAACAAGATAAAACCACACAGCCTGTGCAAGCATCCCTGGTGTTGCATCTGGATTGCCCTAAAAATCCAAGCCAGGAGAAGATGGGGTTTAAAAAAAAAAGCTTCGGAAACACTGCAAGCTTTGCAAACTCTGTTTGAGCTAGCTATGGGGCTGTGTCTTGGTGTGCCTCCCCCTCCCACAAAGTCTCCTGGCAATGCAGCCTTCCTAACACTGGCCTGACCAGTATTATAACGAATATCAGTTTTTAAAGTTTGGTTTAAAGGGGAAATTTAACCTTTTAAAATACCAATCAGATCTCACTGTAACAAAACTCCAATGGACTGTTCCACTTCTGTGATGTTTACTTAACTGTTGGAAATAAATGAACTATCATCTAAAATTTGGACATCTTTTATAACAGACTGAGACTTTCATTAGAATGGTTACTAAACAGATTCTGAAAAACACATATAGTACTAATAATACATAAGGGTTAAGAAACTATTAGAACTTCGATTATTTCAAAATAATGAAATTCACTATTGCAGAATGAACTATATAAGGGCCAGGTATTATTCAAAAGATGAAATCTTTGAAGCACAAAGATAATTATTTTAGGGCATACTAAAAGGCTCAAATGTCTTTACTCTCCATCCAATGGTATTTTAGATCATGGAATTTTACAGATTCTATAAAATATCTCTATGGTTCCTTAGAGGAAAATACACAAATTGTTGTATATGCACCAGCCAAACCCTTGTTTGCAATGCCCTGAAACTGTACATCACTCATGCTGAGATTCTGGCTCAAAAGTTTAAGAAGGATTGCATTCAGATCAAGCTGTCTCACTTTGAAAACCAATGGAAGTTAAAGGTCAAATAAAGCCCTAGCATCTAAACTTCCAAATGTCTCTGGCTTGAGCACTACTTTTCATAAAAACAACCATGTGTTACCTGAAATTCGAATATATTTGGTAAGTTACAAAAAGAGTTGCTGAAAGCCATTCCAGGCACTGGAGCCCATTGGTGTTCAACACTCGGTTACTCTCAGAAACGAGGGTGGCCAAACCGATGCCAGCGAGGACAGCCACCACCGCATTGCTCTGCATCCAGAATCGTTCTACCTGTGCAGAAGACATGCAGAAGTACATCTAGTTGACTGGTTTATGCAATCAGGTACTTAAATATTTAAAAAGTATATTGCATACACCTTGTTGTTCATGCCTGCTGTCATTCAAGTCTTAACTGATTTCCCCAATCCAACTCCAGGTCACTTTATTTCTCAATTTCCAAATATTCCTCCTTTCTGTCGTGACATGTGACTCTCACATTCTTCTCAGTCCTATGGCCTTCATCTTGAACCTCTGCCATAGGTAAGGTGGAGAAGGTGGAGAAATGCTTTTGCTTTACTCCTGATGTTTCCTTCTCGGTGGAGAAGCTCCATTAGCATAATGTCCCCTCACTGGTTTCTTCCGGTAGGATTGTAGGGCCTGAGTTGATAGAAGAGTTTGGGATCTGGGTCTGGGCCTGTGTAGCCTGCCCATTCCTTTCTGTTTTTCTTGGAAGTGACAGACTTGTCCAGGGGCGGACTCTGTGACTGGCGCACTGATGGGGTGGAAGTGGGGCCTGGTGGGTAAGCCTGTCCATTCTAGGATGCAGTACAAGGAAACCCCCTTGCCCACAGGTATATGCCGCATTCTCCCATCTCAGTGTTATCAGCAATAAAGGTGATTCTTCCATCTGCTCTACTGGTTTATTTCATTTCTTAATTGATTCAGAACTCAGGTGAACTAGGGTATTATTTATTAGACCTCTTAAACNACACACACACACACACACACACACACACACACACACACACACACACACACACACACACATCCTAGGTGATTTCAGCTGTTCAAAAAAGAGCTTATAGTTTCTACTATACAGAGGAAGAAATCCCTTAATCTCAGAGAAGGCAGCTAGGGAAAAACAGAAATGTGGTGGCTCTTATGCACAGTTCTAGGCCTGGGTAGGTATGAAATGAAGGAATGTGTCAGTAAGAACCCCCTATTACAACCCATATTTCTTTGCTATTAAAAAAAACAATTCCTGGAAAAGTACAGTAGTACCAGTATCTGCAAGTACACACAGAAAATGACCAAGTTAAATCTACTTTATATTAATTTTTCTATTTAACTACTGTGTTAACTTTTCATTTTTCTTTTGCTAAAAAGAGGTCCGTACTTACTGGTTCAGTAATTTAACTTTTCACTTATAATGTATATATAATTCGAACTACTTCTGAAATAGTTTGGTCTACAAGATTCATGAAAGACAAATCTGTACATTCTTCACCAAAGTTTCTGATCAAGGATATGTCTAAGTAAAACTTACCACACCCATGAAAAGTGGTTTTGAAATATCTAAATTTGCTCTCCAAGCAAAGAACAATGAATAAATGCAAAACATTCCAGTGAAAAGCCATACTAATGATGGGTTCTTTCTGTCCCTATAAAAAAAAATGTACAAAATTACTTACATGCATGAATATTGATAATAATATTACATGGTTTTCAACTACATTAAAAAATATTTGCATCTCTAAAGCTTCCTTATTTTAACTAGGAACAAAGAAAGATCTCAGTTTAAATAAATCTGAGTTGGAATGCATAACTAAGAGTACTAAATTATGTACTGTACCATATATTATAGACAACTTAACTTGGAACTATGCAGCAAAAAATATAAAGTTAAAATCCACAGAAGAAATACAAAGAATTAACCTTGTTAAATTTAAGATGTAATTAAACATTTACAAGGCAAAGAATAATTTTATTTATCAAAATTATAAATATTTTAAAATGACAAATCTCAATGTCAATGAGAATGTCATAGTATGAGCATGCTAGTATAATCTTCAAGAAAAGTTAATCTGATAATATATATGAAGAGCCTTAAAAATATTCACTCATTGATCAATAATTTGACATGTAGGCATAAATCTTTAAGCAATAAACAGAAATGTGGATAAAGATTAATCCATAAAAACGCTTTGGTATTACTTATAATAGCAGAAAAAGTGGAAGCAACCAAAAAATCCTCAAATATGAGAACATTTAAATTATTTTCCTAAATGATGGATGGAAAATTACATAGTCACTTAAATGGTTTTAAGTATTTATTTTTATGGTATAAGAAACTGCTCATAACATTGTGTTAAGGATGCAAAACTATAAATGTATATATATATACATTTAAATCAAAATACATTCAACAGAATAGAAAGTAAATGAACAAAAATTAATGGGGGTTAATAGTGCTATACTTTTTTAGATTTTTTTAAATCATTGGAGGTTACTTTTATCTACAGAGGAATTCAAATAATTGTTTCTTTTGCAGTGCAATGATAATAGTTGGCTATGGGCAGAGTAAGGAATCAATCAGAAGTTTAAGGATCTAATGACTTGCTTTGTTAGACTGCAATCTGCTGCTCTATCTTTCAAAATCACTCATTTATAATTTAAGAAAAAAACCTAACAAGAAAGCAATATATATTTGCCTCAGTAGAAGTGGTTAGAGCCATTTAAATAGAGCAATTTAAAATAACACTGGCAATGACTTATTGCAAATACTAATTGATTTAATGAATATGGGAAAAATAACAGGAAAAGGATTTATATTACTCACTTTCTTGCTAAACATATATTTGCCCAAATTGCAAGGGCTTGAATGTTGAATGAGAGTTGGGTCCTCATATTCATTACCTGAGAACTGTAAAAGATAGATTATTTTTTACAACTTACTTGTGGTCAGAAACAAATTTGGTTAATTCCAAATAAAACAGTTTTTGTAGAACACATCTGATTATGTACTGAATAGTTTATAAGAGTCATATTTTTAAATGATTGTTTCTTTTAAATCCAGGAGAAAAATGTAAATTCAGGAGAAAAAGCTAAGCAGTTCTAAGATGTTTTCTAATTGTAACACTGGCTTACCAACTTAGAGAATTTGGGATAGCAGCAGAACAAATAATTCTTCTGTATTTGTAACACTAGTACACTCTATTGATGTTGTAAACCAACTTGTATCCCCAGTTAGTTTGATAAGAAGTCATCTCAAATTGGTTTTGAACTTTCTTCTGTCACAAGTGTAGATGTGGCCTTCAGTGATTTAGCAACTGATAATAAAACTAATTCAAATAATTTTCTGGACATCAATCATGAAGAAAAAAAGACAAGAGAAGTGAACTCCAATCATTCCTTGCTGGGTTATCTTCTTCCTTAAAAGGTTTCCTTGTTTTCTATATTATTTGGTTCAAACCTCTGAGGTTTACGAAACCTCTGAGAAGTGTATTTTTTCCAACAATTAAGCTAAATACATCCATTAACTAATAAGCATTTTCCAAGTGTTATCTGAGTTTTAAAACAGTTCTAGCAGTCTGCAATTTTTTTAAAAAAGAAATGACTCTGTACACCATCTTGGAGAACATTCCTCTCCCTCCTGGCAATTTTCCTGGAGAAAATGTGATGCCGTAATTGTGGAAACCACACAATATGTACTTTATTAATGAAGACTCATCTACTATGAGAAGATATTCTTGCTCATTATCAAATACACTTGAAAAATTGATTCCAGCATGAGGCCCATTTCAAACCATCTTCAAAAGGAATGAAGTCAGTCTCAAAATTAATTCTCGGAGATCTGTTGCTTAAATGTAAGCTCTAAAACATGCTCATTGCCTAAGGTTAGATTCAATAATTTCCTTTTATAGGATTGCAATTTAGAGATATGCATGGGGAAAGAATTTAATTTGCTTGACTGGAAAAGGGTAGATGATTAGGTTCAATCATTTTGAAGGATTTTCTAGTGAGCTAATTATGAGTTGCCTTTCTCAACACTCTTGTCCACCTGAAACAAAGACTAGAAATTCTCTCACAATCAGACAGTGCTAGGATTATGCCTCAACTCTACATTATGATTTGGTTCAAACAAATAGCATGAGTGCTCATCACTTTTGTCAAGATGTTTTTCTTAACAAAGGGATATAACCTAACTGCTCTTACTTCAACGTAAAGGAGGTCATTAAGTTCCTCAACAGATAACTCTTATGGGCAAGTAATAAAAGTTAAATGTATGGTCTCGGATTACTCTTCAGAGTTCATTGGAGTTCATGTGGGATTTGTTAACGCAAAATATACCTTTAACCCTGAATGTGCTAACAACCCAGAAGGCAGCTTATGAAAGAACAGGCAGTGAATCTTTTGGAATGGAGCAAAGCAGAATAAAGCAAAGGCCCAGAGACATTGGTAAAGTTGTCTTTATCTTTAAAAGGGAAGCTGATCTTTGTGCTAACTTCTCCACAACAAAAAAGAGAAAGCAGCCACAAAAGTCTCAGTCAGACATAAAAGTAAATATTTAAAATCAATGTGAGAACCATCAAGAAGTTACATAAGAATAATTGGTGGCAGGAAAATATTTTCAAGATATAGTATAAAATGAAAAACAGCAGGCTAATAAAACAGAATATATATTATGATCCGATTTCTAAAAACAAAAAAAATTAGAAAGATACAGACAAAAATGTTAATGGATTAATAACAGCAGTTATCTCTGAATTTTACAATTACAGTAATTTTAATTTTCTTATTTTTACTTGTCTGTATTTTCTGAAGTTCCTATAATGATTATGTATTATTTTTTTGGAGTAGGGAAAAAGGTCATTTTTTTTTTTGGTATAATTAATCTACAATTGCATGAGCAACATTATGGTTAAAAAAAGGTCATTTAAAAAGAAAAAAAAAAGGCAGGATGGAAGGAAGCACGAAAGCTAGCAAGTAAACAAGATAGCATTTGTAAGGATCTATGAACTGCCTCTTATGTAGACTTGAAATATTCTCCCATCTCCCATATTTTTTAAATGGTTTAAACAGTCCTGAGAATCATAAATTAATAATTAGTTAGGATATCACTTTAGTGTTATAAAAAACTATTCTTCCTTATTTTAGATTGAAAATATAAAAATATTACAGGATTGGTAGTATGTAAATTATCTTAATCTATATAGGTTTTAAAGCAAGTATTAACCCACTTTTTATAGAATACTAGTAGATAACGTAGACGAAATATATTCACTTTAGCTGGTTCTAATAAGGTTGGATGTTAAAAATATGTAAGGCAAAAACAGAGCTTAGGGAGAGTTTAAAAGTTTTAAGAGACATTAAATTAAGCTCTGAAGAACTGAAAAAGCAAAGCTCAATCCAAAATAACCGGAAATAATTGCTCTGATTGTAAATAAGTTACGAAATATCTCTGAAAAAAGGAAGATACATAAAATCAAAACTAAGAATAAATTACTTATAAAGCAACTCTATATTGTGTTATTTTGTAGCCAACTGAAAGGTGAACCATTTTACTTTTATATATAGTCTTCTAATAGTTTTATCACTGTTGTATTTACTGGTCAATAAGCTTTACCTTATTGAAGGAAATGTTAGAATATATGACAGTATACACAAACAACTGTTTACTGCACAGGTGAAAACTACTTCTTGGATATACTGCTTCACAAAGAGATAAACTCAGAAATCCTACAAACCATTTAAGGGAACTAATAGAGAATATATTTAAAAGCAATTTCAAATATTTCATACTCACAGCAGAATTTTAGACATACTGGATCCTACTTCAGATTTGGCCTAAACATAAAAGAGAAAAGTTTACTTGCATAAGCATTAAGCTTAAGCTTTGTGAAGCTATTATATTTTAACTGTCTGGATTTAAAAGATATATGGTTTTTGTTTGCTTGCTTTTTTTAACCATAATTGCACTCTCTGTTTTAAAATCTCAGTATAGTTAATAGTTGATATATAATATTGTATTCGTTTCAGGTGAACAACATAATGATTCAACAATTATATACATTATGAAATGCTCACCATAAGAGTTGTTACCAGCTGTCACCATACAAAGACATTACGGTATTATTGACTATATTCCCTATGCTGTACATCTCATCTTCATGAACGTATTTACTTTAGAATTGGAAGTTTATCCCTCTTTATCCCCTTCACCTATTTTGCCCATCCTCCCTCTCTCCCGCACATAGCAACCACCAGTTTGTTCTTTGTGTTTATGAGTTTGCTTCTGTTTTGTTTGCTTGTTCATTTGTTTTACTTTTTAGATTCCACATATAAATGAAATCATATAGTATCTGTCTTTCTCTGTCTGACTTATTTCACTTAGCATAATACCCTCTAAGTCCATCCAAATTGTCACAAATGACAAGATTCCATTCTTTTTTATGGCTTAATAATATCCATTGTATATGTACTATATCTTTATCCATTAATCTTTTGATGGACACTTAGGTTGCTTCCATATCTTGGCTATTGTAAATAATGCTGCAATAAACACAGGAGTACATATATCTTTTTGAATAGTGATTTTGTGTTCTTCAGGTAAATTCCCACAAGTGGAATTACTGGGACATATGGTATTTCTAAAGATACATGTTTTAAATATGCAGTGCAACATCTGTCTTCATTCAAAATCTTCAGTCTTACAGAACTTTTTAAGAGAAGTCAGTGAAAACTAAACATGGACAGCCTTTAGGAAGAATTTCAGAAATAATTGGGTAAAAATTAGTTAAACTATTCCAGCAGGAATGATTAACACATTAGTGAATTAATAGACTTTACACTTTTGTTACAAAGTCCCTTTACACTCTTTTTGGGCACTCTGATTAGAGCTCATTATTACCTGTCAGTCTATAATTTCACATGTATGTGTGAATTATACAAATTTCAAATCTGGAATGGCCCTCAAGCAATAGTTTAATGGAATAACCAATACAAGAGAACCAGAATATAAGTTTAAAGTATCAAACTCCTAAATCAAGAAAACAATGTATACATACAAACAACGTATATAATGTATAGTTAAGGGATAAATGGTTTAAAAAAATCTATCCCCCCACCATTCATTTAAGAACCAGAACCACATGAATACTGTAAGGTATCTCACAAAGTCCTCACAGGCCTCACCTTGCTCTTCCCTGGTGGTAACTGTGAACTTGAATTTTGTGTTAACTATTCTCCTACTTTCTAAAGATACATAGTTTTACTACTTTTGTATGTATCCTTGAGCAATGGATTGTTTCATTTTTACATGGTTTAGAATCCTGTATACATGGTGTCATAATAAAAACTCTTCTGAGATTTGCCTTCTTAAGACACAAAAAGCACAAACCATGACAGAAAAACCATGATACAGCTCTCTATATTAAAATAAAAGACAACCTGTTTATCCTTTCATTTTTCAGATAACTTCTTCTGTAACCATATTTAGTATTTTCCCCTAATTTATGTTTTAGAGAAAGCAAGTCCTTTTGAACTTCTTTAGAACACACTAAATTTCATAGATTTAGTGAAATTGTATTTTATAAAGAACTTACACCAAAGGTATTACACTAAATACTAACAGGAGAACTATTCATCAAATATGTAAAAAATAAAGTGTTTTGATAAAGGTTGAACATTTTGAGTTTTCTGCCTTTCATTTTTTCCAAATATTTTTAATCACAGACCAAGCGCCCAAAGTGATACCCAATCCTAAGAAGACTGAAGTACTTTAAGCACTGGAAGCTGAATCTTCTTAAAGCTTGTTATGCTGAAAAGTATATTCAGGATATACAACAGTATAATGTCGAGTTAAATGATTCCAATTATTTTCTAAAGTATGTTAGAGGTCACATTCCAAGGGGCACATCTGTTATATATATAAAACAAAATAAAATTTTTATGTCATTGACAAACTTTTTCTTCAGTCAAGGTCCAGGCAAAACACTGAAATTTTGCTTCTTCCTTCCTTAAAAAGGCTATAAATTATAAACTTACCAGACTGAATGTTCCATATTCTTCCCTGAGAAAATGCGTCAAAAATCCTAGCAACGTTGTCTGGTCTCCCCAGCTCCAACGGGCTTGATTGAGGTGGCAAGAGACAGGAAGGTAGAAATAGGGCAGCAAACCAGCAGAGAAGTGCAGACCCAACTTCAGCAAAAAGCCCAGGGAGAGTTCCTGCAGCAGAGCACATTGTATGGCATGACAATGTTTATTTTAGTCAATTCATCCTGGAGCTTCAAGAACATATCAAGGAAAACATCAAATATGTTTACTTAGAGCTGATCTCTCAATTTATGTTAAGTCACCACAGAATAATATGTTACACTTTCTGATTACTGTGGATTACTAGAAAATTGCATCAGCCTGAGCACCTTTGCATGGCAGGTGAAATCTGAGTGAAGCAAATGTATTAGCAAAGACTCATGAGTATCATGTTTATTGCATCTTTTACATTTTAAACCATGTCACAACATGCAGCATTGCACAGCTGAGATAACCCACTTAGAAGCTGATTCAGTTGTTTGGCTGATTTTGAACATGCCCAAAATACTGTTCTAATACCAGTTCACCTCAACACCATCATCAGGAGTAGACTTCAAGTATATACTCTATTATGATTATACATTGAGAATATAATTCTTTCTACAAGAGTTTGAGATATTTCATGGAAATACTTGGCACAAATGAAACTAGCTTTTCAGTAACCTCCCAGCTCATCTGAATGCTCTTCAATGTACATACAGGATGGTGTGCTGAAAGAAATTTGTTGTATACAACAATGTTGCCTCATGTGAGAATAAATTTCTTATCTGCTAATTTCTAAAAGAAAGGGAAATACTAAGTCTTAAAAAGATTAAATCCAAAAGAACCCTGGTAAACTAAACAATTGCTTTAGTAATTGGGAAAGGGGATTTCTTATATTATAATTGGAAATTACCAAATTTTCCTTTACATTACATTACAAATTTTCCTTTAAAGGGAAATTCATATGTGACAAAGAATATAAGAACCAAGGTTCTCATTCACCAGTAGATCAAGCAGCTGACTTAGTATTTTCAAATGAACATTCTTTATTGAAAATGGAATATTTTATTATGGCAATGATTTCATTTGGTATTTGTAAAGCGGTAATGAGATACATGAAGGATGGCATGAGAAGACTATAAGAAATAACTAATTGAACAACATGTCTTTGCTATTCTTAAAAGTAGTTTAAAGAAAGCAAATGTGCAGTTTCTGCACATTATAAAGTTCAATTTAAAACGGCAAGTTGCAGGTGCTGCAGAATTTTTCATTTGTGTGGAAAATAAACAGGGAGACAGTTGCATGAGAGCTGTTTCAGAGAGTGCAGGAGAGTGGTTCTGAGCCTAGATGCATATATTTTAGATTACCTGGGGTGCTTTCTAAAAGTATTGATGTCTATGCCTCCCCCCAGATCAATTAAATCAGAATTATTTTACTGTGAGATCAGCATAAATAAATAAATACACACAAACACACATATATACACACAATAACATGTGTATATATATCTGTATACATTTTTGTACACACACACACACACACACACACACACACACAGAGTTTTAAAGCTTTCCAGATAACTAAAGTGAGCAGCCAGGGTTGCACCAACTGACCCAGGACTTCTTGCTCCACCCTAGTCATCTGACCATAAGATCCCACCTCCCTGTCACTTTATTGGTAGACCTTATTTTCTAGCCTCTGATGGAAATGAAAGGTCCTGAAGAGTCTATTTCCTAAAATTTCATCATTCCTCAGCAGCTGACCTAAGTACAGGACGAACAGACTTTCGGTTCAGTCTCGTCAACTCTGAGTCCTGCATGTTTTATACAAAGCAAAATGGCTCTCCTTTCAATCAACTAACACAAAACTTTGCTTTTTAAGTTCTTGCTAGAGAATCACCTGACATAATGTACCTTCTCTGATATCAGAAGCCTAGCTAAGAGTGACACTGTTAAGATGGCATAGCTCATTCCAGACTTCGTCCTCACAAAAGGAACAACTTGTAACTACTACTACCACTACTACTACTACTACCCACAGGCAAGACACCAGTGTGAAACATCCCAAAGTCGAGGGTGCAGTGGGAGGCTGAAGGATGCTCTGGACTGTACAGCCTGGGAAAAACCATATTAGAAACGTAAGAGGAGCACTCTGACCACAGCAGTCCTCCTCCAGGCTGGCACAGCACTGCACTGAGGGGGCACCCTAAGGCTATGGTTTATCCAGTAGGCAGAGAGACCAAGGTGGAGATCCAAGTCCTCCAGCATTGCAGGACACTTTTCAAGAGGTTCCCTTGGCTCTCACCTCATGAAGACCACTGGGTATCAGACAGAGACAGAGGAGGGGAGCAGGATTATAGCAACCCGTGCCTATTACATCCTCACAGACTGTGTTCCTGCGTGCAGTGGTACCTGGGCAGAAATCCCAGCCAGTGGTTCAACCCATTTGTAGAGCTGAGCTGGTGGCAGATCCTTCCCTAAAATGATTCTGACTTCACTGACCTGGGGCATATTTTAAATAATAAAGGCCATATATGAACAAGCCCACAGTTAACATCATACTCAACAGTGAAAGGTTGAAAGCTTTTCCTCTAAGGAATAAGACAAGGGTGCCCACTTTTCCCACTCCTGTTCAAAATAGTACTGGAAGTCCTAGTTAGGGTAGTCAGGCAATAAAAATAAATAAAAGGCATCCAAATTGGAAGGAAAGAAGTAAAATTCTGTTTGCAGATGACATGATTTATATGTAGAAAATGGTAAGAATTCCATCAGAAAACTTTTAGAGCTAATAAATGAATTCAATAAAGTTTCAGGATACAAAATCAATGTATAAAAATTAGTTGTGTTTCTATACACTAACAACAAACTTAAAAAAGAAAGAAAATTATCTCATTTATAATAGCATCAAAAACAGTAAAATACTTAGGAATACATTTAACCAAGATGGTAAGAGATATGTACACTGAAAACTATCAGTCGTTAATGAAAGAAACTGAAGAAGACACAAATAAATGGAAAATATCCTGTATTCATGGACTGGAAAAATTAAGACTGTTAAAATGTCCATATTACCCAATGCCATCTAGATTCAATGCAATCCATATCAAGATTCCAATCACACCTTTTACAGAAATAAAAAAAAGAATCCTACAATTGGTATGGAATCACAAAGGACTCTGAAGAGCCAAAACAATTTTGAGAAGAACAAAGCTGGAGGCATCACACCTCTTATTTCAAACTGTATTACAAAGCTATAGTAATCAGGAGGCATTTCAAAATGCGAATGTAGTAACTTCCAGAGACACAACAAATCTACAACTACACATGGAAAAATTCCCCATGAAAACTACCTGAACATGCCCCTCCACAACAAAGGATCAAAGGGCCACACTGAGATGGGTAGGTGAGGCAGAGATGCAGTTTCATCAAAACCTCCACTCCCAGCACAGTGACTGACAGCTGGGAGAGCTCTCACAAATATGAAATTTCTCCCTGAGGAGCCAGGACTTTTGTGCCCTACATCACGTACTCCAAATCGTGGAACCTACACAGGGAGACAAGCTTCTCAAATGTTTGGTTTAACCAATAAGGTGTGTGTTTAGGAAAACCAAAGGGCTGTAGGGAACAGAGACTCTGCTCCTAGAGGGTCTTAGAGTAAGCAGCCTTACTCACTCAGGCACTGGCACACAAGCCCGGGTTGACAAGTGCCTAGACCATATGCAAAGGAGATTCATTTGTAAACTTAAGGCATCTTCCTTAAGGGCAGGAGCTTGTTTGGACTCTCCAGGAATGATGATACTGATGGGTACCATTTGCACTCTCCCTCTAACCTGCTAGCCCCGAGGGTGTGCCCTGTCCCTGTGCACTGCGCTGCACTGCTGCAGCCCTGCCAAAGCCAGCTGGCACATAGCCCACACAGGGGCAACTCTGGGGCACGTGGCTCTGTGGCCACTGGGTATTGTATTTCATGGTTCTACGGTTCTGAAACAACTAGAGAGACAGTTCTTGGCAGACTACCACCTGCAGGACACTGTACAGACAGCTGACTGAAACACCCCTCCAGTAAATTGGAAAAAAGCTTATTTACTTGATCTGGAACTCTGGCATGAGGGTTTACCACACGTCTAGAGGCTGTGGAAGTGCTCTCATGGAATGTAGGCCAGGGAATACCTCTGAGAGCTCTCTTAGCCTCACTACACCTCACCAAAACCTCCCAGAAAGGAGCTCATACACTTGTCTGAATTTTGCAACTGTCGTTAAGAGGATATTTCCAGATTGCTTGGTGTGGAGACCAGCAGGGTCTACAATTGCAGTCCCAAGACACTATATACCTTAAAAGCTTCTGTCTAGCTTCCAATCAGCCTGAAACTCAGTGCTGACTGAAAGCCCTCCCTCTGGAACATTTACAGGTCTTGGCACAACCTCAACAACTGGAACCTATCAAGAAAAAATTAGACTGCCTAGACAATTACAAAGGTTCAACAGACAACCAAGAGCAAGGGGAAAGTAAAACAGTAAGATTTTTCTCCTGCACAAGTGCATGCCTTCAAGACTGGGAGAGGTAGCCATTTCATCTGATACATAGAAACAAGCACAGAGAGTGAAGCAAAATGAGGAGACAAGAGGAATAGGTTTCAAACAAAAGAATAAGATAAAACCATGGATAAAAACCTTAATGAAATAGAGATAAGTAATTTGCCAGATTAAGAGTTCAAAATAATGGTCATAAAGATGCTCACTGAACTAGGGAGAAAAACGGATAAACACAGCAAGAACTTCCACAAAGGAAAACTATAAGAAAGTATGAGACAGAAGTCACAGCTGAAGAACACAATAGCAAAATCAGAAAATACCCTAGAAGGGTTCAACATGAGACTAGATGAGGCAGAAGACAGAATTGGTGAGCTGGAGGATAAGGGAGGGGAAGTCACCCAAACAGAGCAGCAAAAAGAAAAAAAATGTGAAGCTAGTTTAGGGACCCATGGGATACCAAGGGGAATAACATTCACATTATTGGGATACAAAAGGAGAATAGAATAAAAGGGGCAGAACACTTATCCGAGGAAATAATGGCTGAAAACTTCTCTTACCTCAGGTAGGAAAAAAATCAAGATCCAGGAATCCTAGGGACCCAAACAAGATGAACCAAAA